GCTTCATTTGAGTCGCTCGTCGACAGCACGTGCGAGCGCATAAAAGCCACAATAGCCCGGGCTCGTAATCCAACGATTGCTGCATTGATTGCAGATCATTTACGGGGGCCGATAAATAATGTGCTCCGCCATCGACGATTTGTAAGCCGTGGGAGACGGGAGAAACTATTTGCATGCGAAGTGATGCCCAGGACTATTGAAGCGGGTTGAAGAGAACCAGAAAATTACCAATAACCCTAACAAAATGACACAAGATTAATTTATAAATTCAATAGCTGATAGCCCTTCCAGTCCTCTACATCCGATATATAAATAGCCCCGATTTGCTTCTTTTTTTTTTTTTTTTTTTTTTTGGTCCTGTCTATTTTTTGCCAAACCACCTTATCCATTTTCCGATCATGAATATATACTGATAAAGTTATGATTAAAGCACAGAAATAGCGATCGAATACATACAAACAAAGAAGATTTCATTTGGCAGAGAGTGAAAGCATTTTGAAAGGTCTTTGATTAATCCTTTTACAGATTTATAACCCCGAAGCACGTAACCAATTTGGCAGTGAGCAAAATAGGAATGAGTTTAACCCAATGAATCTGTCGCTGTCTGCCTTGCCTTTGTTAGAACGTGCTTGTCTCTCAAACATTTCACTGCCATCTATATGTCTGAATTCATACCTTGGACCGAGTTTGTGCCTCCGGGTTTGCTTTCATTTGTCTGTTTGACAGCTCTCTCCTTTTCCCATGCGCCCAAGGTGTGATCTAACAAAGATGATCCGACCCACTTTCCTTCTTCCCCCAAAGCGTTATGTTCAACTTTGAAAAAACGTTTGCAGTCATTTTATATATGAATTTGTTCGTGAAAAAACTAAGTGTATCTCGTTGGTGTTTTTTGTGGGTGTTTTTGCGTGCAAATGTGTGTGTGTGCGTGTGTGGGTGTGTGTGTGTGTGTGTGTGTGTGTGTGTGTCTGTGTGTGTGTGTCTGTGTGTGTGTCTGTCTGTCTGTCTGTGTGTCGTGCAAAGGGGGTAATCGAGGGCGATGTACATAGTACATCTAGTTGTAACTTAATGTGTCTATATTGGAGTGTTTGTACTTTTTATAATGAGAAAAGATGGGCTAATCAAATAGCTGCTGGGGAGGAGACATGTTGCACCCTTGTCAGATCCCAAGTAAAAAGAGGGAAAGATACAGACAAACGGACGGAACGACCTTGTCCTGTGAATGGCAGTACTGATTTTTGTAATATAGGCATATCTTTGTGTGCGTAAACGAGAAAGAAAATATATAACTTAGTGCAATCTCCTCTTGATACACCTTTCTATTTCTTGAAGTGAGGATTGAAGCAAACCGAAATACTTCATCATAAATCGTTCTAAGCAGTACACCATTCGGTGATTTGTTCGTTTAAAACTTAACATTTGCGCAACGCCAGAAGTTTCCGGTCCTTGTGACACCAACTTGGAGATATTTCCGTCAATATGGCATTTTTTTCACTCAGCTGAAACGTGACTGTAAAAATTAAAACCCCTAAAAACTCTACCTTCCCTGCCAGCATCTTACACTGAGATCATCATCTTGCCAAATGCTCATCAAACAGCATTTTCCCTCTCGTCTCGGCCCCCCAACCGCACGCCATAACTTATATACGACTGCTCGTGTAAAACACTTAGCACAAGAAGATGTAAAGCATCTTGCCTAATTAGTTGATAGCTTCCTAATGACGATGATTAGCAAGGGGAAGCTACTCACATTTACAGTCACCGTTCCTGGCATGTAAACAGAGCCCGCCGCGGGACAGAGGATGGGGGGTCTTTGGCTCTGCCCTGAGAGAGTTAACATTTGGGCGAGGGACTCGTCTGCTGGACTCATCGTCTTTGCAGGAGGCCTGGGCCGCTGATGGGGATCATGTGAGAGCACTGAGGCTACGGGAGGTGCGCTCACAGGTTTTTCTGATCAACTCGTTCGGTAACATGAAAATCAATCGAGACGATCGGTTTTTCAGGCTTGCGTGAAGTGGCTACGAATAAAAGCGAATGATGCTTACCATGCGCTGTTTTCGTAATGGGGGCCTTTTCAAACATGCGGAGAATCTTCTGCCTCCTATGTAATTGATGTTACAGTCCTACACTGCTGTTCAGTGGCATGATAGGCCTATCATTATAACGCTTTGCGTTCAAAGAAAGTGCAGCAAAAGCAAAGTAATAAGGCGTTGGCTCGAATTAATGGAAAGGCGTGGCCAACAAAAGTACAACGTTTGCGTATTAAAGGAGAAACCGATGGGGACTTGTATAAAGACGTATTTTTCAACAACAACAACAAAAATAAAGCGAAAACAAATGCGAGAGTAAAAAGAAAAAAAGTTGCATGAAAGGCACGTACTCGGAAATTGTGGCATTATCAAGCTGACAAAGGCAATATGTCAGATACATAAATGCACGTTCATTGTACATAATATCAATTTCTTTTTAGAAGACAAAAGTGCAAAGTGAATGCAAAGTCATTACCCGTTTTCGTTTTGTTTTTTTACTGGAATTAAAACTAGGGTTTTTAGACCGCAAATAAAGTGTGTGTAATGATAGAAAGAAAATAACTCAAACACGCAAAGGGCTATCGACTGACATCGATACGAAATGTAATCTTCCATAGGCTCAAAGTCTGAATATAGACATGCTACAATAACTCCAGGATATTTGTGACGTGGGTCAGTTGTCGAACTGTAAGCTCTCTCTCTCTCTCTCTCTCTCCATC